CTATAGCTTCCTAGCCAAAAGAGGAGATAAATATCTGCTTTAGAGTTAGGATTGAAAGCAATTCACTAGAAGACAAATGATGACGTACATAACTCTGCCATCTTTTGATTTTCAGGGAATTCTAATTAATGAATTCATTACCTCCCTCCTGCAGGGCATTTTCATCCATCAGAAAGCCAAGATTCAGGTTTAAGAATAAACTTTTTATTGCCTCATCCAGGAGTGGAGAAGCAACTCTATTCCATGGAACTTTCAGTTCTTTTACTTCATAGGCCTAGAAGAATGTGGAGGGAGTGTGAGGGGTGAGGAGATTGATTTTCCAATTGTGAAATTCATGCAGTGGAGCAGTGATTGGCTCACCTGCGCCTGAGGCTTGGGCACGCATAGACCTCGGCTTTCTATGTTCCATTTTCTGTTCTTAATGTGAGCCACTTCTGACCTGGGTGGATATCCTGGGGCCTTCAGAGGTGGATCCCTGCCTGCACCTCTGTTCCAGCCTGCCCTGGTACCAGCTCATTTTGCTTGTCCTTCTGCCTATCTGCAGGCAGCTGGCTGGGACTGCAGTTGCCCTGGGGCTCCCTTTCACCTCAGCTTCCTGCCCAAGCTGTCTAGACTTTTCCTCTTCCCCTCACCAATTGCCTCACACTCTTTCTTAGTCTTGCTTCTGTCTTAGCACTTCATCTTGGTTCTTCTTCCCATAATGGGTAGGGAATTTTAGGAATGCCCTAGATTCTGAAGCAGGGAAGAGTGGGACAAGTCCCTGCTTAGGCCGGCTAGAAACAGAGGAATCGCGCTGATGATCATGATAGCAAAGCTGCTGCTGGTGGGGATTATGTCAAGTGTCTGTGTGTGCTGTGAGGGGAAGGGGCCTCCTGCTGGTGAGCCAGGCAGGTTTGCTGAGGGCCTCGTCCTGTGTGCCCTGGTCCTTCTTTTTCAGAGATGGGGCAGTTTATCCTGTTCATCCCATCCCATCCCTGTTCCCATTTCTCTTGCCTGGACCCATGCTTAGGGACAGTCAGATTGTCCCTATAGGAGAGTAATTTAGAACAGAGCATGACAAACTCTGTAAAGGGCCAGACACTGAAGGGGTTAAATTTTTCAGACTTTCTAGGCCCAGCTGTAGCTGCCTGTCTCTGCCCTGTAGCACAAAAGCAGACAGAGACAATGTGTAAACACACATGGCTTTGTCTCAATAAAACTTTATTGATAGAAACTGACGTCTGAATTTTCCCTCCCTCCCTCTCTCCCTCTCTTCTTCCCTTCCTTCCTTCCCCTTCCCTTCTTTTTCTTTCTTTTTGTGAGGCAGGGTCTTGCCTTCTGGTGCAGGCCAGTCTTGACTTATAACACTCCTGTTTCAGATTCCTGAGCACTAGGATTACAGATGTGCCTTACCATGACCGCCAAATTTCACGTTTTCATGTGTTGCAGAGATGGGGCAGTTTATTCTGTTGCAGATTATCATTCTTTTTTCCCTTCCTACTCATTTAGAAATTGTAAAAACCCTTCTTAGGTCCCAGCGCCAAGCGTCCTGTAGGTTGGCAGGAACAGGATGGACAGGGCCTGCGGTCTGCAGGTTACCAAGCCTGGTCCAGAATGTGGTGTTTCCCGAGGATATAGTCAAATCCTCATGGGAACTGTGGAGCGAGACAAAACCAGTCCCCTCTCAACTCTTCACTGCTTCTCAATCTTCAATACTCTGGAAGGCACGATACATTCCAGGGTCTGGCACACAGCAGCCATACAAGGCTTCTCTTATGGACCTGGAGGAGGGCCTTGGCTCTGACTGGCAAGGCAAGAAGCCCTCCAGACTGTGCTCTGCGGAATGCGCCTGGGGACATTGCTCTGGCTGATGCCCTTCTACAGGTGCAGATGCTAAGCCTGAGCACTGTGCTAGCTGGAGACACGGTCGCCTGTCCTGACTGCACTGGGGCTCCTACACAATACAATGCCCAGCCAGCCCAGCACGAGGGACACTGGACTTTCGGACTACTGATTTTCCACACACACTTCCCTATTCTAACCTATTGGCCAGGCGTAGTGGTGCATGCTTGTAATCTCAGCCCCGGAGAAGCTGAGGCAGGAGGATTGCCCTGAGTCCAAGGCCAGCCTGCGCTACATAGTAAGTTGGCTCAGTGACTGTATCCAGGAGCCCTCTGGTGGCTGCAGTCAGGAAACACTCCAAACGTTCATGTCACTGACAGAGCCAAGAGGTACTTAGGGCTGATTCTTAGCCCCAGGGCTACTATCTCACCACAAATAGACATCCTATCAAAGTGTTTTGACAGCAGGAGACCCATATGCTCAGCACAACAACGATGTTGTTTACACGCAGACTTTACTGCAGCACCCTTGAGTTGCTTTTGTATTTGTTCTTTACACCTGTCTTCTGGGGAAGGTAAGACAGATTTTTGGGGGCTACCAAAGACTGAATGTGGGGAACATTGAACTGTATTTCAAGCCCCTTTAAATTTTTTCTTTTTTTTTTTCTGAGACAGGATGTCACTAAGTTGGCTAGGCTGGCTTTAAACTTACAACCCTCCTATCTTAGCTTTCTAAGTAGCTGGGCTTCAGTTTTTAATTTTAATTTTATAAATGTAGAAACCACCTCTCAAGGAAGCTAAGAGACTTGGCCAATCACCACAGCAGCGTCAGAGTCTGACCTCAGGTGCAGATCTTGCCTCACCCCAGGGACTTCTTTCTGCCTTGCGCGAGGTCTGAAAGTGAAGGGTGATTAGTCAGTAAAGTAATTTTCTGGGGAAGCATGACCAATTTCCCTTTCTCCACCTCTCTCTTTTCCTCTGCCCCTCCCACAGCCCCCTTATATACAAACCTCCCAGATGCCTGTCTGCCTGCGCAACTTTATCTCAGGACCAGCTTCCACAGCTAGGGAGGTCTACTCAGGGCCAGTGTTTAGAGAGGGGCTGCACGGCTTTCCCCTTCCGTAGGAAGAACTAGCTCACGGAAGAGGGTCACCTGCAGGACCTGAGGTGAGTGGTGAGGGGTTCCTACGTCATTTAGATTGTGCCTTACTTGGGGACTGGGGTCTAGGGGCAATGGAGGAAATCAACATTCTGAGTGTTGGGCTGGTGAAATAGCTCAATGGACTAAGTGCCTGCTTTGGCAAGCACAGGGACCAGGGTTCCATCCCCGGTCCCACATACCACACCAGCCCTGATCCCAGGGCATGCTGAGCTGGAGACAGAGTCCAGGCATGGTGGCAAATGCCTATAATCCCAGCGGTGGGGAGACTGAAAACAGGAGAATCACCATGAGTTCGAGCTGCATAGTGAGATCCTGTACCAAATACACACACACACACACACACACACACACACACACACACACACTCTAAGTGTTCATGCAAGGACAAGACTGCACTGGAGGAGCTGCTTTCTCCCATTTATTACCAAGAAGACTAGGCTGGAAGAGGAAGACCAGGATTACGAGGCCCAGGAATGAACTTTCAGGAGAGGCCAAAAAGCCCATAGAGTTGGAAAGCACAGGATGGGAGTGTGCAGGTGGGGTGCCAGAGCACAGAGGACTTAGGGCACTGGCCCAGGAACCCCTCCCTGCTTTATCCTGGTGTTGGCTGTCTCTGAAGCCTGAGCTCCTGTGGTTTCTGTGCAGAATAGGGCAGGTGACAGTCCTCCAGCTCCAGGTGTGAGAACAGCGCCTGGAGCAAGAAGTTCTTCTGTAGCTGTGGAGGGGGAAGGAGAAAGGGAGGGGAGCAAGCAGGAAGGAGGAAAAGCAAGGGCAAAGAAGGCCCCGGGAAGGCATTCTGTGCTTGCAGTTATGATCTATGGGAAATGGTGCTGAGTCCCTCTGCTGGGATCCCTCCACACTCTCATTCCTGAGGGGCCCTTCCGAGACAGTTGCAGAGGTGCATCATCCGGGGCTCTGACTCCTCCCTCTGGTTCAGTTACTCGAAAAGTCAAGGAGATGGCTCAGTAGAATAAGTGCTTGCCTGGCAAGCACAAGGGCCTGAGTTCAATTCCTAGTTCTGAAAAAAAAAAGTAAAAAAAAAAAGAAAAAGAAAAAAGAAAAACCAATTCTTAGAGTAGAGTGGGGCTGTCAACTGTGGTGAGTGTGTGACCCAGGCCTGCTTTCTGTGCCCATCCCTGCAGGCCAGCATGAAATCCTCAGCTTCTCTATGATGAGGAATCAGGGCTGGTCAGCTCTGGAGAGGAGACCCAGACGTGCCTAAATGTACCTGGCAACTTCTGGCAGAGCTCATATGTAGGGACGCTGTCTCTCTGGAGGTTGGGCCTACCTGGCTGTGTTCTTTGGCACCTGAGAATCCCCCATTTGTCCCTCTTCCTTATTGTATTCTGGCAAGCAGGTTGGAAGTGAGAGAGAACTGTAACTGAGAAGAAAGGAGGTTGAAAGTGTGGAAGTGGCTGGGCATGCTGGTGAGGGCAGGACCAGTGGGTATAATATAGAGGGGCGAAAAGATCCTTGCCTACCCCAGCGCAACCAGCAAGGCCACAGGATTGTGACAATCTAGCCTCCCACCCCCTACACATCTTAGGGTACTTCTTATTGCTCTAACAGAATATCTGAGACTGTGTAATTTATGAAGAAGAGATGTTTATTGGCTCACATTGCTGAAGGCTGGCATGTTAACATCTGGTGACCACATCGGCAGATGTCCTTACTCCTACAGAGTCCCACCATGAAGAAGGGCATCCCATGGTGAAAGGGCTGCTTGTATGACAGAGCCAAACTGGCTTTTATGACAGATCTGCTTTCAAAATGACCCCTGAATCAATTCATTACTCCATGAGTTGGTTAATCCATTTCTGGGGACTCGTGACGTAATCCCCTCTTAAAAGTCCCGCGTGGTCCCACCTTTGGTGTGTTGCACTAGGGTTCAGATGTCCACGTGAGGCAGCGGGAGACACTCAGCACGGCGCGCCCCATCAGTGGAGCAGAGCTTTACTCTGGGGTGCACCCCTGCTGCTCACAGGCCTCCCTTGCTCTCAGCCCCTCCTTTGCTACAGATGGGCTCTTGGCTCCAGACCTTCCCTTGCCTCACTCTGATCCTGCTTCTCTGGAGCTGCCAGCTCCAGGGCCACGAGTTCCGCTTCGGGCCGTGCCAAGTGGAGGGAGTCGCTCTCCCAAGACTGTGGGAGGCCTTCCAGACCATGAAGGACACCGTGGTAAGTGGAGCGGGATCTGCACCTAGGCCTCGTGGGGGTCCCTAGAGGGTAGAGGAAGGCTGGATTTTGTGATTAGGAAGCCTTCCAACTTGCCAATACTCTCCTACAGAAGAACCCTGGGAGGTAAACTTACACAGGAGGTAGCTAAGGCTGAGAAAGATATTGTGAGCCCGGAGGGAATAAAGAGCTCAAGGGAATGAAGGAACCTGGATCTGTCCAGACTTCATCCTGGATGGACTCAGCTCCATGTTTGTTCAAGGACCAGGGAGTGAGGTTGGGTGCAGAGAGACCTCCCAGGTGCAGCCTCCCGCCACCGCCAGCCCCCTACCTCCCTTTACCAGGGGCAATGCAGGGAGGCAAGCCTGGCCCTTTGGGTTTGGGGTCCTCCCACCTCAAATGACCAAGGGAATCAAACAGGTCTTCACCATGCTGGTATTCTGGCTCTAAGAACTGTGTCTGGGATTCTGTCTACCACTGGGGAGCTGGGGACAAGCCTAGAGGTTTTCTGTACATAGAACCTGTACCCACTCGCCTGAGGCCAGCTCTACATGGCCCTTTTCCAGCTCCTCCTTTGGTCTCTGTGGCCTATGAAGTTTCATATACTGAATAGATTCGGGAATGGGGGAGCATCCCCTATTTGCAGGACTGGCTTCTCTGTGAATGCCTCACTCGAAGACATCTTTTCTTTCTGTCTCCAAAGCAAGCGCAGGATAACATCACGAGTGTCCGGCTGCTGCGGAGAGAAGTCCTGCAGAATGTCTCGGTAATCAGATGGGGGGAAGGCCACCCCTCCCATTGTGGGGCGATGGAAGCCTTCTCTTCTACCCAGGGCTGACCCTATATGGGACAGAGCTGGGTATGAGCCAGGAGAGCTTCTGTCTGGGCTCATGGGGAGAAGTGAGGATTGCCACTTATAAACATCTTTTTCTACTGAACCAGAGCTTTGCCATCAAGCCACGGTGTTCTTTATATAACACAACGGCTGGTTCCTCGGGTGATCCCCTCCTTCTCCTCCCATCCTTGTCTCTCAGCCATTACCATCTTCTCCTTTCTCATCGAGTTAGTCAGTGAACACAAAGGTACCGGGCTCAGGTCCCCAAGAGGCACCCAGCTTGAGGAACCAAGGGCGTGGAGTGCAACCCCGGGGTTCAAGGAATGTTAATTTTCCTGTTTCTTCTCTTTCCTGTCATTTTCCTGCCTACTCTCAGCCACAAAGTCCAGGCTTAAGCTTAGGGCTTTCAGGGTCCTTCACCTCCTCATTCTGGAGAGGCTGTGGAGGGTGGAGGAAAAGGCCCAGGGCCCAGCTGAGGAACCAGATCCCAGGGGCTCTCCTGTGCCTGCCAGGGATGCTATGTGTCCCTAGGCAAGTCTCCTCTCCTTGTAGTTGGGCCCCTCCTCTGTAACAGCAGCTGCTCTCTGAGGCTCCTTCCAACCTCAAGCTCATCCTGGTCTCCTGGAAGCCCGGCTTTTCTGTCCATCTCCTGCCTGGGGGAGCATGTGGGGTGCTCTGAGTAAGCAGGGCCCCCAGTGAGCCTCTAGTGAATCTGCCCTTTGACCAGGGTGCTGAGAGCTGTCACCTCACCCATGACCTGCTGAAGTTCTACTTGAACACTGTTTTCAAGAACTACCACAGCAAAATCGCTGAATTAAAAATGCTGCCCTCCCTCTCTTCATTGGCCAACAACTTTCTTTTCATCGTGTCAAAACTTCAACCCAGTGTGAGCAGAAGAAAGCCAGGGCCAGGAGCCTGGGAAATGGTGTGTTTGGGAGCACTGCCCCTCCTCTTAGGCCATGCTGGCTTTTATTCCACAAGAGGGAATGGTGGGTGTCCTGGACAAGTGTCCTGGGTGCAGGTCTAGGTTTGCTTCTCAACAGCTCGGTGCCAGTTTGCAAGGTGCCCAACCTCTCTGGGCTCTAATTTTATCATCTGGAGAATGGAAGTGACACCCTCACTGGAAGGATGGCTGGGTTCCTTTGAGGACACAGGAGTCACCTCTGCTCTCTGGGGTTGGGAGCCTCTGTGGCACCACTAGGATTGTGAGGGAGCTTGCCTCGGGTCCTGCCTATGTCTTGGCATAACTATTTTGTTTTTTCTATTATGTGGCAGAACCATGAATCGCTCTCTGTCAGTGACAGCGCACACAGGCGGTTCCTGCTGTTCAAGAGAGCTTTCAAACAGGTAAGGCCTGGCCCAGGGCTCCCCACCCAGCAGGGACAGACTGGCTTGGGTGGTCCCGCCAGGGTGTTGCAGACCCCTCACACAGAATTGATTGTGGGAGGCTCCACCAGACTTGCTCCAAGCCAGCCTGATGGGGCAGAAGTGCACAAACATTTGCATCAGTTAGCATGTGCTTTTTATAAGCATCACAGCATGGTTTTTATTTCTGCTAGTTTTCAAATTAAAATGCTATTGTATAAACTTGGGAAATTTTATGAACTTTCCCTAAAATAAGCCACCCAAGAGATTCCAAATTTCATTCCCAGCATCCATTCATCCTCATTGAAGAAAAAAAAAAAAACAAAAAAAACCCTCATATATGACTTTGATCACTTTTTGCAGAAAAAGATACATGAGCCTATAAACATATGTTACTGAACAAAACCATGTCAGAAAGCCACTACCCAGGTACTCGGCGGACTCAGGGGTTGGGTCCCAGCCACCTTGGGCTGTGTCTGTGGCTCTGCTTGTAAGGGGAGCCATATGGCTTTCCCTTGTCCTGTCCCTGCTGCTGCTTGGTGGTGTTTCTCTCCTCCCCCATAGCAGACAATCACAGCTAGGGGACAAGCGACAGGCAAGTGAGCCCATCAGAGGTCACTCCAGCCTGTGATGAGGGGTCAAGCCTGTGACTGGAAAGAAAACTTGTCTCTTACTAACTGATTTCCAACTCTCATTTCCCTGCAGTTGGAGATCGAAGCGGCTCTGACCAAAGCCTTTGGGGAAGTGGACATTCTCCTGACCTGGATGGGGAAATTCTACCGGATCTAAATGCCTAGACCACACTCGCTCTCCCTGTCATTTCAAACACATGTTCCCTTCCTGGCTGTCCTCTGGACACTTCACACCTTTGGCCATGGGGCCGCTCAATGGCCAGGCCCATCCTCAAGGCTCTATGCTCAGCTGATCAAGTGGCAATCGTGGAAGGCTCCCCTGGCTACTGTGGACAATCTACAAAGTGAATTCCCATATTTATTACAAGCCTATTTAATTACTGTCATTATTTTAACTGAAGTTTATTTATTTGTGAGATTATAAGTGCCATAAAGGCAGCAGAATATGTCTCTTGCTTCTCTTTTGTTACCACCATTCCCGGCTATGGCACTGGGCAGTGGGTGCATATTCAGTAAGCACTTAATGAGCTGGATTTTGTGGTCTGTCTTTAGCCCGGGGAGCAATCCCTGGCTAGGAACCTGAACTTCAGCACAAGGAAATCACTTCTCCGCAGGGACAGGGCTCTGGGGTTGAATGAAGGGCAGCAACTGGAAAAGTAAATGATAAATGATAGCGTGTCGAGTACCCGGCACAATGCAGCTTCTCACTGAACACTTCATTTCTGGCTCACTCTCTCCAACCCATCCATCCTTTCCTTCTTCAAAGTTCTCATTCGCTGCTTGGGATAGCGCAGGGTCAGGCTGGCACTGCTGAAGTCATGGCGCTTGGATGGACCCTCCCTGCTGGGATGGCAGTGCAGCCCTGGCAGCATTTCCTTCCTGTTTCTGCACCAGTGCCTGAGAGAGAGACTACATGATGCATCTGGGACAGGTTTGGGATACTTACAGTAGACCAAAGTTCAGATAAATGCACAAATACCAGTGCTAGGATGCGGAGGAAGGGTAAGGAGATGACAAGGATGTAGCTGCAGGGAGAGAGTGGCTATAGGAGGCGCCATGCCTACGTAGGTGTCTATATTTACATATCTATCACTGACACTAACAAGCTTGGTTCTGGAGGTGTGCAAGGTATGTCATCAAAATAAATTGCCAGCCCTCAGATCAGGGCAAAGTGGCCCCCCTGGGAATTTTTACTCTAAGCCCTTTCCAGAGTGCAGGAGTGAGGCAAATCCTCATCATGCACCTCCAAGGGCTTGTGTTTGTGTGAAGCCCAAGCCACCACACCCCAGCCTGTCACCATAGGATCCAAAGCCAGGGCAGCAAGGACCCTAGGACCCCAAGCACCAATGAGACCAACCGGAAGCCTGTTAGATAGAGAAGAAGCAGGAGGCATCGAGGCAAATGCTCTGCCTTTCCAGGGCCTACGTGAGGATCACAGGGCTGTGGATGTGTGCAAGATCAGCTGGGAGCAGAACTACATTCAGGGCACAGCTAGGGCACATGAGCATTGAGATGAGGCATGGGTCTTTGGCAGTGACAAGGTCCCTGCTAAGAGATGGAGCAGACACTGGAATTCAATAGACAGACAGGACTCATTGGCACCATGGGCTGGGTGCAGGAGGACATCTCGGCAGGAAGGTCAGGCTGGGGACATTGATATAGTCATCTTCAGCTGAATCAGGGTCCTCCCTCTGGGCAGCAGGCTGGTGGCAGATGGTCACATATTCACAGCTGGCCTTATGCGATGGGGCACGGAGCCAGGGAGTTTCAGGCATCTGGGAACACCAAAAAAGCATCACTGGATCTGGGTGTGAGTCTAGCATCCCGCTCGTGTCTGCAGCAGGCCATGGGGTGGGGCACAGGCAGTCTCTGCACCCCAGAAGGTCAATGTGAGGAGATGGCTAAGTCCCATCAGGTGGGCAAGCCCTGGGTATTGTCAGAGGGGTGCCTCACCCCAGGTAACTGGAAAACACTCAGATAGAATGCAGGCGGGAAATGCCTTAAACAGAGCTCAGAGCGAACTGGTGGCTAAGCACAGATGTGTAAGCCCAGCCACACAAGAATGTCCCCTCAGGGATAAGACCTGTGACTTGTGGGGTAAATATGCATCTTCCAGGGGAGCTATTCAGAGGTAGGCTGAGTCAGCCCTTGGACCCCTGTCAGGGCTTGGATCAGCTGTGACGTGGCATGAGGGCACATTCCAGGCAGAGGTTTGGCAGTGAGGAGGAGGAAGACTGTGGCTATGTGGGCACCAAAGTTCTTCTTTCCTAGACAGACACTTCAGGGCATCTAGTGTTAGGATGGACAGTTCTCAGGAGGCAGGGCTGTGCCAAGAACCTGCACGGCACAACCTCTGTGATATCCAGAGAAAGCTGAAGTAGGGACACTGATTACTTATTTATGTGTGTTTTGAAACAGGGTCTCACTATGTAGCCTGGGGTGGTCTTGAACTCGCTATCCTCTGGGAATGCTAGGATTACAGGTGTGTACCACTACACTGCCTCTCCAGCCTAATTTTTATTGTTCAGTTTGAGACAGAGTCATTATAAGCTGCCCAGACTGGGCTCAAACTTGTGATCCTCCTGCTTCAGTTTCCCAGAGTGCTGAGATTTCAGGCGTATGCCATTATGCCTGGCTTTTGATCAGGTTTTAGATACTAAGAACTGGAAACACAGAAGGCACTCAGTAAATGCTCACTGGAAGCAACTTTTTTTTGTTTTGGACTTTAGAAAAGAGGAAGCCACGTGTCACCAGCCTGTGCTACCCAGCCAGGGACATGGCATCCTCTTTGGAAGGCAGGTGGTGCCCTATGGCTAAGCTACAGCCAGTTGGATTAAGTGAATGGGAGGCCTGAAAATTCTCTCAAAGTAACAGCTTTTTCTTTCTTCTTCCCCAAAGACCGAAATGTGGGCTTGAGGCTGGCCACTGAGTACTGACCACAGGCCAGGCAAGACTCCAGGGGAGGTGGAGCAAGAAGTCCGGGATGAGGACGACCTTGTGGCTCAAGTAGTTCTTCCTGCCCCTCCCGCTCGGATCCCCTGACCTTAGAGCCTGAGGCGTTAGCTTCACCTACACTTAATTACAACACAGGCGATCTCCGATCTCAGCTTGAAGTCTCACCACCCCTGCCACCCTTCCCAAAACCAGCAGTGTGGTCACTGCGGGGTACTTCGGAGGACAACATATTTCTTCTTCATTTGTGAAACAAAGACGCTGGATGGTTTGCAGGCTTTTCCCCTGGACGCCTGAGTTCCCTGTGCTACCCCTGGCTTCTGACCAAGTCCCCTTCACGGCAGGGATCACTCGGGTCCGCGTCTCTGCCCGGTCGTCTTCTGTGTCCCTCTAGCTGTGTCGGGTGGGCGGCGCATACACTCCACTAATCTGAAGCGCTGGCTAGAAAATTCTCCCTCGGATTAAGGCGAAACTAGGCAGCTTCTGCCCCTTTAGGACCTCCCTGGAATCTACCCTCCGTGTGCTCGCGGGTTACTATCCGTCACTCCTTTCTCCCGCACCCAGCACCCAGTTAGCCTGCGCGGAATGCGTGGCAAACAGGTAATCACGGTGATCATAATTTCCAGGGGAAGAGGGGACAAAAACAGCTCTCCCCCGGCTCAGGCTTGCGCCTAGGCGTAAACCGCCTGCCTGCACTCCAGTCCCAAACCCCGCACTCAGCCCCCGGGGACCGCGGCTGCCCCTCAGGGTCCGGGCGGGCTCACCTGGGGCGGGGCGGAGGGCCCGGCGGATCCGCTCTCTGGAGGAGGGGCCTCCTCGGGGCCTGCGGGGAGGGGGTTAGAAGGGCGGGGTGAGGCGGGCCCAGGGCAGCGTCCGCCCCACCCCCCAAGGCCTGCGGGAAGCCGGGGAAGGACGGCGCGTGCCCGGCGCCTGGCGATCCCGGCACAGCCCCAGTTCCTCCCCACTGGCTCCGCGCATTCCGGCGTAGCTCACCCGAGGCGGCGCTCGGAGCGCGGCGCGGGCAGGCGCTGTAGACGTTGTTCTGGGAGCGCGGCCGCGGCCCCGCGCGGGGTTGGCGAGAGCCGGGCCTCCCCGAGGCTTCCATGCCGCGCATCCTTATCGCCAGGCGGCGGATCCTCCTGGAGAAGGCTGCTCGGCAGCCGCGAGAAGGGGGAAAGAAAGTGGCATCAGGAGCCCGGGCCACCCCCAGTGCCGGCTCTTCGACCTGCTCCTCATCCCCATGTCCAGGCCATCGACTCACACCCCACTTCCCCGCACCCGAAGCTGCTTCTCAAAATCCCGCTGGGTCCCTTGAAATCCTGGCGGGCCCAGCGCTCTGTCTGGGACGCTGGCTGCTCACCCCGTCTCCTCTGAACGGCTCTTCTCAGCAGGAGCCCCAGGAGGGCCAGCAGCAGGAAGCCCAGGACGCTAGGGATCACGATGTGAAACCCTTGGTCTTCCCACCTAGCCTGGGAGCCAGCGTTGAATGCTCTGGGAAGAGAAGAAAAACGAGAGATGGAGGAAACCTAAGTTAAGAAGGAACTCAGCTTTCAAGGAGAGCTGTTGGGAGAGCTTTTGGGGGAGGTGATGCTCAGATCTGTCCCCGTGTTGGAATTCTCCCCTCTCCCCAAGACTTGTTTGTGTAGTCAGGAAACTTGGGTTTGGGTCTGAATTCAGCTCTGCCCTTTGCTGTCTGACTGACATCTAACAAGTCTAGCTTCTCATTCCCCCCAAAATAGATAACAGTATAACCCAGCTCAGAGGACCGGTTAGGAAGATGAAATTAGTGGCCTATTAGAAGGGATCAAACCTCTCCCAACATTCTGCGTCTTGGTCTACTCACAATTATTGCAAATAGTAAATGAGTTAGTTCTTTAGAACTGTGGACAAGAGGGTTTTATTTTCCCGCTCAGTGCTCCCAAATGCAGAGGAGGTCTCCCTCCATTTCTCCCACACGCCGAAATCTTACTTTTCTGAGGGTGATGGTGCCTAAACCTTGTTTTCTCCAATCATAATAAGCCAGAATCAGATCTTTTCCACGCTGTTTCCAATTCTGCCCATGTCTATCACAAATCCCGTCACAGACTTGTGTTAGTAAGACCCAGACGCAGCGCAGTAGCTGCCACACAGCTGAGACTAAGAAAATGTTGGTTAAATTTTCTTTTTCTGTGGTAGGTTGATGTGATTTACCAAACTGGGAAGCAGAGTCTTGATTCTTTCTGAAATCACTTAGCTCTCAGATTTACCATTTCCAGAACCCAAATGATGTTGCAGATCCCCTTCTTCACTGACTTACAGTACTGTATTTGTATCAGTGAGGATAGAGAATTCTGATCATTAGGGGTTTTCTTTGGCAGCTGAAATAATGCTGCCACCTAGTGGTCTATTGCTTTACTTTGCCGGACTGGGTGCCCTTTCTAGCTACGCTCTGTTCGATGGCAATACTACTGTACCTGTCACCTGTGTAGTTTTAAACTGCATGGTACACCCTTAAAAAAGTAAAAAGAAACAGGTGAAAGACAGTTTCAGTGGATCTTAGTTCTTCCTACCTTGCTGGGCTCCACATCATGGCGTAGGGAGGCTCTTACCTTTGCCTGTACAGCCAGGTGTGGTACTTGTAGCTGGCCTCCTGCGGCCCAAGCACCCGCTCCTGAGCGGAGCTCTCTGAGGCTTCAGTGGGGGGCAGAAGGGTTGGCAGCTTGGCGGCTACTGCTGGGGAGGCTGCGGAAGCTCGAGGCTGGTGGGTTGTTGGGGTGGTGGTGGAGGAGTGGTGGACAGGAGCAGCTTCAGTCCTTTGAGCTGGTATAGCAACTGCAAAAGATGGCAAGAGGAAGGAATGCTTTTTCTATACAGTGCTCCTGCAGGACTGGACTACCATCCCCATCCCCCATAACCTCTTCCATTCTGGGAAGGATTTCTTTTCTCAATTCCAGTACACTGGAATACCTCCCTAGTGCCTCACTGGCACTTAATCAGATTCATGTGTGTTTGCTTCAAACGCTGTTTCTTCCTGGACTTCCCTGACTTCCTGGGCAAATGATCTTACTCTCCTTTGGGCTGTGGGGAGAACTTTAGCATTCTGTCTTGTGCTGTATTTGTGTGCCTATCTGTGCTCCCCTCCTCGTATCTGAGTCACAGCCATGGCTCTGTGACTTTGTTACACCTCAATACTCAGTGGCACCCACAGGGTCTCCTACTGCAATAATGTTCATTTAATGTGCTGACCTCAGAGAGAATGTATAAGGATAGGAGAGAAGTATTGCGGGTCAAAAGGCACTGAAACTAGAAATTGATACTGCAATACAGAATTGCGAGTATGCAATCATTTCTCTTTTATTACACAACAGAGTTGATAAAACTTCTTAGTGCCAGCAGGTAGAAGACAGCTCTATGGGCAATAGGAGGCATGATGGCCTTCAGCTGGGAACGACTGACCAGACCTGAATTGTGCACTCATTCATAAAGAGAGCTAGATTTTGTGAATGGAGCCAAAACTTCATTACTTGTGGTGCCACCTGGTGGCAATGTGTAAGTTCTACAACTAGGGTGGGCTGTCCTGGCTGTAGGATAGGGAAGGTGGACCAGAGGGAATTCCCCTCGCTTAAGACATAGAAACACACGTCTGAGTTCTGCTCTGCTAGCCATTCTGTGAGCCCAACACACGTCCCTGCATTTTCACAGCACCACAGCATCTTCCCCTTGCCTTTGGTGCACTGACTTTCAGATGTGAATTCGGCAGCCCTTGCGTGTGGAACCTCCTGTGGCCAATAGGGTATCTGCTGCTCCGGAAGTTTAGAAAACCATGGCTGAAGCTCCTCTTCCAAGAATGGCTCATATTCTACTGAAAGCAAGAGAAATACATGGGTGATTGCTGGTGGGGAAGACTGGGGTCAGGGAGGGGATGCTGGTGTAAATATAAGGTGGCCTCTCTAAGTGGATGGTGACGAGTCGACAAGGGGAGGACACACTAAGGTGAACAGAGCAGAAACAGGGTTTGGGGCTCCCTGAAGGAAACACTCCTTTCTCCTGGGCCAGCAAACACTACCTGCCAGTCTGTCAGAGATGACTGGTGATGTAGGCTGTTGGCTCTGTACAGCATGTAAGCAGGAAGTCACCAGAGAAGAGAAAGGTGGGGTTCAGGAGAAATAAAGACCAGACTACACAGTGCCAGATCTAGCCTGCAGTACGGCCTGATTTTCTAGTGTCTTATTTATATTCACCTCTGGAATTTCTCATGAGACAGTTACACAGGATGATCTTGTCATCTGCTTCCAGTGTCTCAGAGGCTTTGCACAAGCTCACACCAACTTCTCCCCTCATCTACCAGGTCAGATGGGCAATACCAGTACACTTTCCATCTAATTGCGTTCATTTGCTGTGTATATAAAGTACCACAGACTAGGAGGTTAACTAGCTATGCAGTTCAACCACGTAGATGTCAGTTGATATTGGACTGGTTAATATGGCCATAGCACTGGAAGTTCTTATGCTTAGGTGTTTGTCTTAACTCCGAATGGAAGTATTTTCTGAACAGGTGGAACAGCTGGGTGACTTACCATCGTGGACATTCAAGATGACTTTCTGGGTC